ACGAATCAGGGGGAAAGGAGAAAGGGAGAATGGAACATAGAGGCTCTCAAATAAAAGCCTCCGGCATTTCTTTTTTACGCTGATATATTTTTAATTACTCTTTTGTCATTTTTATATTTTTCTGAGCTCCTGTCAGGCTTAATTGTTCCAGTTTAACAAATCGTTCTTGATCCAGTTACGAACAATTCGACCGGAACTGGCTAAACTTAAGTTTTGGTTAAGTTAATAAAAAATGGAGAACGCTTGAAAACAAAAAATATATAACTTTTTTAATTTATTGCAAATAACCAAATATGTAACTCAATAACAGCCTGCAAATAACACTGTAACATTCTGTTTATTTTTCGGCAATATCTGTATTTCTACGATATGGATATTGCATTTATTGTGGAACATCAAAGAAATTGTATGTTATGTAGGCAGCACGAGGAAAACTTAAAAATTATATACTGGATGAAATCATATTTGAAACAAGACAAGAAAGCCAAGAATTAAAATAAATAACCGCAGAGTGAACAAATTATTATCGTGTTATTATCATCACAAGATTGTATTTTAATTAACGGAAAGTATGAAATTAATAAAAACATAATTAAATTAAATGTGCATTTATTACGACATTTAATTTAAAATCGGTCTATTGTCGTTTAAATTTTATCTAAAACAACGCTGGGTAGTTACAAAACAAAGGGTGTTACTTATTTTACCGAAAAAACACCAACATATTTCAGAGTTAATAAAAGTATGTTGCCAATTTTAAACTGTCTTTTTCAAAAGGTTATTACAACCTAATTTTCTCGGGCGGTGTGCATAAACCACACTTCTTATGGCAGAGAGTCAATGAAAAAAAAAAATGAAAAAAAAACGAAAAAGATTGAGACGCTGTCAAACTTTTCGATGCTCCATGAATCAGTTAAGCGGAACAGCACACCTACGTATCATCGGTTGTGCTAAGTTTTCAAAGTTGTTGTTTCAAAAGTTTACGCTTGTAGTAGTCGGAAGGGAAAGATGAAAAAAATAACACAAGAATATTACGAATAAAATTTTAATGTAAAATATTTGGGTTTTTTTTTTTAATTTAAGGTTAAACCATATTTTTGGGTTGTTGGGGTTATTTGAATTTTTGGACATCGAGATACCTTAATAATCTTTCAGACGTATTGAGGAATTCCAAGGACGGCGCAGATCCGATGTAGCCGGGATGGCAGAAAGGTGTTGCGGGTTTAGCGGAACGAACGCCTTGTGGTTTCTCACGCTCGATAAAGGAATATCGCTGCCGACCATGAGTTGTCGTTCTTTCAAACAAGTGAATTTTCGGGTATAATTTTTATGGATTCCAGGTTAACTTTCTTTATTTTTTCCATTCCTATTCATTCATGGACATTGGTGATACTTTATTGAAGTTTTTTTCGCTTTATTAAAATGAATACATTGTGGGCTTCAACTGACATTGTCTCGGCTTAGATTTTAATAAATAGAAAAAATACTGCAGTTGTTCAATAAAAGATCATCAATGTTTATTAATATAGTTTGTATAATTGTGTTTTATGCTTAACAAGATTTGAAGATTTTATCTAGAACTTTATAGGGAAGCTAATTGTAGCTAATTAATTAATTTCTGTATTCATGATACATTCTAATTAACTTTAATGTGTGAAATAAACTAATTCCAGAGTTTTAATTTCAACAAATACTTCATACATACCCACAATAATTTTATTCGGTTAACTCGAAGTTCAGTTTTCTGTATTATCACTTTTTATTTTCGGGATAATTCTACATTTTTTCATTATTAAACGTCATTATCTAAGCATTTAGCAAATTTAAAAAAAAACACTGGATCTTTTAGATGAAAGGACGTATTCATCTTTGAAGTATTTGATAATGTGGAATACCGTCAATTAGTCTTTCATTTTTTTTTTTTTTTTTTTTTGTCTTTCCACCATTTGTTTTCGTTGACTAGAGGAAAGATAAACAAAAAAATGACTAAATAAGAGAACCTTGATTTTTAGAAAGAATAACCTAGGAAAAAATAAAACTCCTCCACTGATCTCATCCATCAATCACTGTCTTCGACTTTTCAGGGGGAGAGTAGAACAAGATGATAGAAATGAAAACTCTCTTCTAAATCAACTAGATATCTTCTTTAGAGACGAGAAGGAATTTGGTGTTCTACATTTTTTGTTTTTTATTAATAAACATTATTAATTTTCTTAATTTATTGGGATGATTCCAAATGATACAGTTGACTAAGTTTCTGTCCGACACCTTTACATTGCACCAAGAAATATATTAAAAAAATCTTTTAAAATTTATACCGATTTATGCCGTGTATCTTTGATATTATATACTACACGGGGATTGCTTTTCCTAGTTTAAATTGCCTATTACCTACAGTACAATTACGATCAGAAACAATTCTACTGAAATTTATTGTACATAAGTCCTACCAATAATTCTGGTATAATCTCTACATCTTTATTTTCTCTCACTTCCATTTTTTAAAGCCTGTAAGAAATGTGTTCTGTATACAATATTGGCAAAACAAATAATCTGAATCCACAATGGACTAAGAATAAAAATCTGAATAGATGTACAACTAAGAACATCGTTCACAAAATCAAGAAATATAGGGAATATTTTCTAATAGATTAAAAAGTAACATACAGTAAATTCTGAGTTAATTATATGAACTACTATTCTCAAAAAACTGCTTTGTAAAATTGTAATTAGGTAAAATGTTTTGAAATTAGGTAGAATTCAGAAATGTAACTTTTCTAATAATATTTTTAATTTATGTTGTGAATATATTTGATGTGATATACGTTCGAATTTAAGTCCTGACAAGCAAATATAGAACAAGAAGAGCCAGGCCGTGGTTGGAATTGAAGCATCGTGGACGGCAAATGTTGACCTATTCCTAAAAAAACACTTAAAAGTCTTGAGCAGTTACTTTCCACATTGCAAATTTCAAGCATCTTTCAAACCATCTCTACTTTTGGCAAAACCCCAACTGTCCGTCCTTTTGTATTCGAATGATTTTATTAATATAAATCTATCCAAAAAGGGTTAATACACAATAATTAAAAATAAATTAGTAAAGTTTAAATTATTTCAGTTATTCATAAATATAGATTCATTGGTTTTAGTGGTCCGCTTGACCAATTAATATATTTCAATTAATTAAGGTTTTTAGTTGAGATAAAAAAGTCAGTGTCACGAGCGAGATTCGAACCCACGATCTTCGGCTAAATACGTCGCTGCTGTACCACTTGAGCTATCGTGACCTCGATCCCCACGGACACCAACTTCCCATCTGAACCCCTTTTGAATTTTCCTTCCATTTTGCCATTCTTCCGAAGATCGTGGGTTCGAATCCTGCTCGTGACACTGACTTTTTTATCTCAACTAAAAACCTTAATCAATTGAAAGATATATATAGATTTGAAAATTATCGTATACCTGATTTTATATTTATAATGTAAATTGTCAACCTCAAAATATTAGCCAAATATAGTACATTAAAAACCTGAAAAAAAAAAAAGAATTATTTAATACAAAAGTTCCGTTGCTTAATATGCCATCGATCACTTATAAAATCTACTTTTGCATAATGGTTTGTATAATACCTTTTTTAAAGATGAACAATTTTATTATTGTTATTCAATTATTACAATCATTTCTTATGTTTAAGTTTTTAGCATTTGTTTAGCATCCCGCTACAGAAACATTGAAATCATCAACGTAAAATAGGAACTATGTTTGGTGATATTGCATGCAATTTGGGGTGTCAGATTAATCGTACAGTGTTTTGGAAGAAACAATATATAAAGCATTTTATTATTATTAGTTGATTAATTTTTTAAAATTCCCAAAGTTTTTAAACAATTACTATTGCCAATGTAGTATGAAAATTGGATTTCCACAGAAACCCATATAATAAGTAAACATTTTAGAAAATAGGTTTCTACCAATTTTAATTCTTCAATGTCAATATTTGCTTAAAAAAATTCGTTGTTGCATTGAAATTCAAAAATTACAATTTGGAACGTCAAAATATTATTCCTGCACTTATGCTCTTTTTGGAAAAACAGAGCTTTTATTTATTTTATGATGTAAGACTTAAGGCCATATTAGAAATTGAATATATAATTATTTTAGTTATTATTTCTATCAATTAAATTCCGTTTAAAAGATAAATTTGTCTCGTTATTTCAACAAGGTTTAAGCAATCACCAATTGGGGACTGAAATGTTCTCGTTCGGACATCTAATACGTGACACACAAAAAAGTCCTGGACAATTCACTAAAGATTTTGCAAAAACAATCCGTAAGATGAAAAAAAGTTTCGTTTTGATAAACACGCGAACAAATACGTTAGACGCTCTTTTTCCATTTTTTTTTTTTTTTTTAACAAATACAGTTATAATAGTATTTTTTGTGTTTTTATATAAAAAGGTTTGTAAAATACACCACCTTTTCACTTTTGTTAAACCTTTTGAATCGTCAGAAATTTCAATTATGTGGGTATTATCGCATTTACCTGTCTAAAAAACAGCAGTTATATAATTGAAAAAATGTAATTATAATGATAAAACTGATACATATTGCATAAGAGGTTCACACATATAACATAAAACGTTAAGATAATAGATTTACATACGCATATTTCTGACATAACTTTCTTAAGAAACTTACTAATTTTCGTGGTCCGCTTGACCAATTAATATCATTCGATTAATTAAGATTTTTTAGTGGAGATAAATAGTTCTTAAGAAAGGTTCTGTCCCAAAATTGCTCGACTTTTCCTTTTCTCTCCCTTATAAAAACCACCTCTCAGCTTGTCTCTTTCACAAATAACTGCAAAATGTTATTCGAATACCCTTCCCGTTTTAAATATTCCTTGACGTTCTTTGATGCTTCGTTTCATGAGAGACCTCGGCGGATTAAGGCACCTATGCTGAATTTTTACTTTATACCTTTTTTTCTCGACGGTGCAGGTGAGGGAGGGTGAGATGGGGCCCGGGTGAGGGATGAGAGCGTCGGCCATGAACAGGGCCGAAGAGGTAGAACTGTTTCGAAAATCGCGGGAGGTAAGCGTCCTGAGGGCCAAGCGACCTGAAGACCTCGTCCTTAGCGTCCTCAAGGAGCCACTGGTCAACCATCAACGGCCCAACGCACTACTGCCTTCGACCTCCGAAGATGACGAGGACACCAACAGAGTAGGCACTATTATATTATCTACCGGGCTGTCATTTGCAAAACCGGTTCAAAACTCAAAATTGATACAAGTATGACGCAACCACGATGTGATTTTTTTAATATCCGGCATCTCTTATCAGGCACCGTCTTTAGACTAAGTATAAAGTCAGTAAAAATCTTGTTTGTGTGTATGATGATTAATAGGAAATAAATTGTCATTTCCATTATTCCTGTTTTTTTACATTCATATTCGTTCAGAAATGGATGTCCATAGACGTTCAGCCATTCTCTTATGAACTTGAAAAAGTGAAAAAGTTTAAAGTCCCTGAAGATGCTAATCTACATTAGTACGAAACGCGTCTGTCGTAATAAATGCCTATTGTGGAATATATTTATTAATATATGAATANAGAGAGAGAGAGAGAGAGAGAGAGAGAGAGAGAGAAAGTGAGAGAGAGAAATACGTACAAATGATTGAAGTTTAAAGACATAACTCATCAAAATGTATATTAATATAATTAATATATGAATATATTTATTTCCTACTCATCATCCTATTGTGGAATTCCACAAAATCAAGATGGGCAAACAAAATTTTGTGCGTGTCACTTTTCATGGCGATGACAATTAAATAATTTTTATTTAAAAGTTAAGTTAAATTACTCAATCATTGTTGGGATTGAAATTGTAATAAAATTGTAAAATATGTAGGTCCTCGTTTTTATTGCAATCTTGCGGTTTTTAATTAAAATTTTATGTACAAAAATTAAATCATATCCCATTAGACTACAGCTTAAATTTTGCTTGATTAAACAGGAAATTTGTAAACGCCATCAACTTTACCTGTTTCACGTTATCATCAAGTTCAAAGTAAGAACAATTTCAAAGTTACGTTCGCAAATTCATTAAATAATAACTCATACAGGCCTCGACACGTTTCATACAATTTCGTTTTGAAAAGATTTCCTTTGATAGGAATAATTTGATTGGATTGCTTTCCACGTTAAATTAAATGAACAAATACATATTTGTTGACGATCTTTGTATTTTGCGCTACGCAATAAGCTTAAAAGCTGTATGATTTATGTTTCAAAAATGGGTGAAACTAAACATAATAAAAAAGAAAACAAAAGGATTTCACGAATTTCACAATAATGTAGTACATGCACATTGACTTTATTGATTAGGGAATGGGATCAGATCTGATAATTTTTATTAACACTATCAAACGGTTTTGCATCATCAAGCTTCCCTAGTTCAACCCGTAACACCTTAAAATTTGCTTTTAATAAAGGACAAACGAATGTCACACTTTTTCAAGGTCATAACAACACTTAAAAGATTATTCGGAGATCGTGAGATATTAAAAGCAGTACAAAATTAAAACTTAAAGATTATTTAGAGATTGTGAGATGCGGTCTGGTGTGACGTAGGTTTCAGAAAAACATTTTCTTTATCGTGCCAACGTTTCGATCTTCATTGAGATCATCTTCAGACCTCAAAAGTCTGACTCTCAACATGACTCACAAGAATGACACATCTACATGAAAAACAAACACTTTGAGCACTGAAGATGATCTCAATAAAGGTCGAAACGTTGGCACGATAAACAAAATGTTTTCTAATCCTACGTCACACCAGACCGCAACTCACGATCTCCGAATTATCATTGACTAACACGGTCAATAAACACCACACACAAAAATACCAAAAAGATTATATGTATATATATATATAT